CAGATCTGTCAGAGGACCTTTGAAATGAGCATTCCTCAGTTCCAGGTCAGGTCTGGTGTATTGATGTGAATGTTACAGTATATTTATAGTTCAATTATGAACTGTCTCAGGCTCTTTTTTCTACCTTGCAGAATTTACACAAGCAGTTCAAGGAGATGGCAGCAGTAATGGACACTGTATAGTGGCTGGAAAATCTATACTGCAGATATTTCCAAATCAATGAAACAATGAGCTTGTATTAGTCTCTCAGCTGTCATAAAAATGTGTGGAGAACTGGGTTCGTCTCCATTGTTGATTTGCGTTTTATTTTATGTTGAAAAATCTGCAAGATGTTAATGAATTGAGACAAAAAACTTGCGGCTCTTTCTGTAACTGTTGTGTTCCGCTGCAAAACTGTTGCCATATGTCTCACATACTCTAATATTTATAACAATCATATTATATTAAGCAACATCGGGTAAACTGTCCCAGTTAAAGGACCTGAGAATTGAGAACTAAATGGTGAAATGGTTGCTAATATGAAAAGGTTGCCACAGCTCAAAAAGTGGAATGGAAATGGAAGTTCAGAGTCTAAACATTTCATTTTCGATTGTATAGTTTCAAAATCTTACAACGTACAACATCTTGTATCTTTTGTTTTATACTTTTCAAATATATTAAAAAAATGTGATTCATTGCTGTCTTTGTATGTGGCTCTTATTTTGTCTGTGTTTTCTCTGTCTTTTCTCAGAGAATGTTTGGTATTCTGTTTGCTACAATATAATTGTGCTTTTGTTTATCATCTGATTATTTTCACATTATTTGCACATTTTATTTTCTTTTGGCACAACTGACATCAAACACCACCATCAGAGTGGAGTGGGTTTCATGTGGCACAGCTGCTATTTCTAGGATGGGTGTATTTGATGGATGGAAATCCACTAATGCACCACCAACCATATCATGTGATTACAGCTGCCCTCTGCAAATCAACACTGCTTGTAAACACTTCATATAACACTGCAGCACATACTGTATAAAAGCCATGTCAAGTCTAGCCCACAGACCAGTAGATGCAAGTCTGCAACATCTTTCTGAAAATGTACTTTTACATTTCTTTTTAGGGTTGGATATAGTGCGCCTGTAAAAATGATTGAAAATCAGATCACTTCCAGGAAAACGTAAAGTGGACATATTATGGAAACTGACTGTCAGGATTATGGTACACACAATCTCATTACTCAATGTGTAACATGTGCGTAATGACAATAAAGGAACCTTAGTCAACAATTTTCCCAGTGTGGGATCAATAAAGTTCAATCTATCCAAATTTAATCTTTATATTTGTGTCTCTGTTGTTTGCCCACTCCTTAAATGACAGTTATGACAACTAAATAGATGGTCATTTTCAACCAAATCATGAAACATTTTATTTAAACATCAAGAAAGCACAATCATTTGCAGTCAGTTGCATAATAACTATGTTTAGTGTTTGGCTTTTTATATTATATTTATATTTGCACATTTATAACCACTTTTTGTTAATTATTTTTGGCTAATATAGTAGTTTTTACGAATCCAGCTACTTCTAGCCTATTGTTATAGTTACTTTTGGCTGACTTACATTATTTTTGGCAAATTGTGGACAATCTTGAGTTTTTTAAAATATTTATTTTCTCTACATAAGCAATACCTTTAAATAATGAATCGTTCCTGCTGTGCAGTATGTTTTGCTAACTCGTTGTCATTGTCAAGGCTTCGTTCTGAAATAACTGCTAGCTACTGTAAATGACCTGTAATTTATTTTGAGCATATCTAGCCCTGACGGCCATTTAATGCACCTTACACAACCAGTAACAATAACAAGGAAGTGCGTATTAGTGACAAATGTGAGAATAATTTATTATCTACGGTTTCACTACTAAGCTACATCTATCGCCAACTAACAAAAAGTTCTTGTCAGAAGTGGGATTCGAACCCACGCCTCCATTCGGAGACCAGAAGTCCCGTTCACAGGAAGGTGGAAACCTTGAGTCTGGCGCCTTAGACCGCTCGGCCATCCTGACAAGTGGTGAAAGGTACCGTATTATTTTCTGTTCCTATTTTCTAATTAAATTATTACGCCTTCGACTTCTTATTTGGTGATATATATTTTGGTTCTCATAAAGCTAGTTGTGCTATATGTTTTGCTAACTTCTCAGTAATTTTACTTAGCTATAAAGTCGGACATTTTTTAATCATTGTTATATATTACGTTTTATGTGGTGTACATTTGCTAGTTTTAAGCGGAAACGTAATCATGCCTTATTTAAACTTGGTTTAATCTGTTTATGTTGTATGTTTTGTCGTTATAAAACGGAGAAATGTCCAACCATAATTCTATAATCTTATTTAAAATGCTCTGGAAAAGCTGTGAAATCCTTTGCAAAACTAGGTGCCAAAATCCAACCTGGCCCCACTTGAAATACCCTCCTACCACTCTTAAAAACTTTAACCCCTTCTGCTTTACAGTATTTGACAAAGGTCTGCCTTCACGACTCCTGCTGGCAGCCATCACCATGGTGAAAAATAAACGGTAGAGAGCCTAAAGGACACGTGCCATCAGAGCTGCAAAAAAGAAACCGCTTTCCCAGAAAAGAGACTACCAGTTACTCTTATGGAGACTTGGGAGTGTTGCAGCCTCCTCCAGTCACGTTTCACACACAGACAAGAGTCTGGGTGCTGCCCACTCCTCCAGCACATGGGATGGTTGGGCGGGTCGTCAGTCAGGGCGCACAGACAGCTGCTCCACCTCCAAGCAGGCGTTTGGAGAAAGAAAGGAGGATCACATTCAGATCACTCCAAGGAGACCAACTAAGAGGCAAAAGTACTGTGTATTATTTTATTTTTTATACAGCAGACTTGAAGTGTGAGCTCAGGTTTGATGCAACAGGAATTATTTCGGGCAGGAGTTAGAAGTGAATGCGTGGTTTGGCTGCTAGTTCAGGAGGAGCAACGTCAACAGTAGAAATCAGATCTGAGAGCGACTTGTGTTTACACAGAAGCCATCCACAGCCACGTTTCAGCAGGCAGGCAACGCACAACCTGTCCTGCCAGCCTTGGATTTACAGTAACGGCGCTGTTAAAGGGCTGACTTCCTGCCGACACAGTCAAGGACGCACAATATTTTGTTTTTGTAGGTCCTTTATGCAAGATTCATTTTGATTAGCATGCAGACTTGCAGCTGATGGACAGGACAGCCTGAGCACATGTTTGTGCACGTAGACGATCGTTTCCTCGTGTGAACTTTCACTCTGGATGTAAAAGTGTTTTGCAAACTAACCTCCAAAAACTACGCCTGACTTGTGCTGCAGCCTGCAGGGGATGCTATCGTTGCAACTCGTTTCAATAAAAATCTGTTCTTAGAACCACAGAAGTATTCAGAGTGCCCGTGGTCGACATGGAGAGCCCCGAGGAGAAGGAGAATAGCCCTCCCAAGTCGGAGAAGAGGTTCTGGCTGAGTTACATCGGCTGGTCGTCGCTGGACAGGAGGACCACTCTGCCCATGCTGCCGTGGTTGGTGGCCGAGATCCGCAGGAAGAGTGAGAAGGGAGACTGCGGCCCCACGGTACTTTCCCGGGAGGTCCAGCTGGTCCTCAACCCTCCTTTCGTGCGCTGCGTCCCGGCCAACAGCAACAACTCCTCCGTCTTTATCTTCGAGCACAAGGCGCAGCTCATCTCCAGGTTCATCCACAACAGCAATGATCTGGCCTACTTTGCTTATCTCATGAAAGGACAACCGGACAACCCTGAGTCTGAGATGTCCTGTCACGTCTTCAAGGCCTCCGACCCAAACCAGGTGTGCAGAATTTATTGCTCGAAAACTTTAACATTTTTAATCAAAAAATTAAAAATGAAAGTGTAAATTCTGTAGACTCAAAACCAGGAAAGGTAAAGACAGTTTTCTTTAGGACAGTAAATAAAAATCCAACAAGATTGTCCAAAGTCTGACAAGGGGACCAACTGTGGTACACACACAGATTTTATATGGCCTACACCTAAAATAGTTGTTTGTCCAGCCATCACCCTGCTAGTTTAGTTTCTTGTTTCAAGTGCATTTGGAAACAGTCCCAGAGTAAGATTTTTTATTTATTTATTTTTTTCTGGTCTAGCATTTACTTGACTGTCCTTCATCATTATTTGCCACATATTTTGCATACATTAAGTCACTTAAGTGAAATCTTAAGTATAATTTACCCAAACAGAAAATAAAAAGGAGAGAACCAAATAGCATCCTCTCAACATTGTGGGTAACTAATGTCCTATGATTACTGTCAGTGCTTTAAAAGCGTAGGAAAATAAATTTGTTTATAAATGTAGTGAATGATATGACAAAATACATATAATATTTTGTAAAAATCATTGGGAACAGGGTAGTTTTTTTGTAAACCACTTAACAGGTGTTGTTGGTTGATTTTGGGCCATTATGAAAAAGCAGATGACACCTCTGTCATCTCACATGACTTGGCCAACATCTCCAAATTTCTTAAAAAAAATTGAAGCCACTGCATTTTCACTAATTACACCCTCACAGTGAGGCGTAGCATTCCATTTCACATTAGGGAGGATTTTTACAATTAAGGTCTTAAAAAATAAAAAATAATATGATGTCAAATGTGATTGAAGCAAATGTTATGATGCTCTGTCAGACGGCAGCTGGATGTGTAAACTCCAAACAAAGGAAAGTCTTCACTTAGACGTCCTTAAGGCCACGGAGGTCCAAACATGTTTGCTTTGGCATTAAGTATTTAGGCCACCAATCTGTTGAGGGAAAAACCAGAGCAACATGGATTTACTTTCATTTGTTTTTGTTTTGGAGAGCATTAATCCCACCATCCCTGATCTCTAATAAGGATCACCATAAACTCCTGGTTGGTGCTCTTGCTGTGATGAAAATGGATTGAGTCAGCACAATTTAACATGCTGATCAGTATTGCACCCTTAGGACATAAACTGCAAGATGGGGTAAATGGCCCAAACCAGTCCTGCTTTTAAGGACTTTCCTGAAGTCATAGGTCTTTCATGGGTGTTGACATGATCATGTCATTGGTGTTTGATGTAAAATGCATAAAAAAGTATTTTAGATACTGTAAAATACTACAGTGCAAAAGGCGGAAAAAATGTTTTTCTCATTCTTGAGTGACCAATTGCAGTATTTAAAAAAAACAAATGACCTGAAGGAAAAAGATTATTAAATTAAAATTAAATATTATTGTGGGCCATACATCACCAGACCAAACCAAATCTGATTAGATACATTAAAGACGTCAGTGATCATGATGTCCCTGGGATGAATCCATAATATTTTCAAAACAGTTCTGTCTGCCTAGCTGATCCATGGTTCTTCATCTGCTCCGTTGTTTTGTTGGAGTCTTTCCACTGTCTGCTATTTGTCAGTCACATGCTTTTGTAATGTCTTTTGTTTGTTTAGGCAGTGTTTGGCCCGTGTTGTGATCGCATGTCAAGTGAAGCGCTGTCCAACTAAAAGTGGAACAAGACTCATTTTGTTATGATTACGATTGTTGTTAAGTTAGCTTGTTATTAGTTAAATTGCTTGCAACAAATCTGATAACTGGAAATGGCTCAGTAAGAACAACCTGAAGGCAGGGATATCGCCACCCAGAGTAGATTTAGCAACTGCTAATGAGCTGATTCCCTTCCTGTGTTTTAAGACCTGGACAAGGACGATTGGCCCACAAACTTAGCTTTACAGAGTGTAGCACAACGGTTTATCTGTTTATATGCCTGTAAGTTAGCTGGAAGTAAAGTTGTGAAGAAATTTGTCGCTTATTCTTCTCCGACTGTGAGGTTACACATGTGTCACACGTGTGTCTTCACTTGCATTGTGTTCACTTGTTGAACCTGTTTCGTTCCACGAACCAGGAAAACACGGCAAATAGTGATCACACAAACGGATATCCACGTGTTCAGTGCACGTTTTTAAATCAAACTCACACATGTCTGTGTTAGGGCATGTTCTCTGTGGTATAAGAACGAAAGGAGGAAACGTCAGTGCTGCTTAGACATATATCTAAAACCTTCAGGGAGGAGAAACTGGTTTGGCAGCCAGTGACGTAGGAGCATGTGGAAAGAGGACCATGTGGAATGTATGGGTTTGTCTGTCAACACACTGCTGCAGTCAGAGTTTATGATCTATTTTTTTTTATTTGCTGATTTACTGATAACTATATCTTAATATCATTTTGTTTTTATCTTGACCCAGTTTGAAAACGTGGCTAAATTCTGCCTTTAATGTATTTCTGGGTGAGAGGCTTGTTTTCATATCTATTCTCAGCTGTTGATGTGTCGGGACACTTTGTGCAGACCCACAGGGAAGGCGTGTGGCACAATGTGAATGGTTTAACAGAGGATGACACACACACACACACACAGGGTGTCTTCAGAATCAGTGTATTTAATAAACACAGAAATGAAAAAGCTCTTCCTGTGAAGAACAGTTCACCAAGAAGAGCCTGCCGTAAAGTTGGAATGTACTGTAGTTGTTCTTTGTTTGAGCAAGTCTGACTCCCTCAACTTGAAATATGACTTTAGTTTGCCCTTTATTTTATCATTAACAACTTCCTACCCAGCTGTTCTTGGTCATGCATAGTGAAAGGCACTCAGCGCTCCCTCAGCCAACACTGGACTTCTGTTTCTTCTGTCCATGACAACGTACATAATCCATCAGAATTTTATTTATGAAATATTGACTCTATGTGTAACTTTAAACTGAGCATGTGGTGCACACACAGGGCCGGAGGGAATATTGTTAGACTGAATTTGCCTTTAAAATGATTGACAATGATTTACTTAAGAAGTAAAGCGTTATTACAGAAAAAACTACAAAAAACACTCCCTAAATACTCCAAACAGAAATATGCCGGTATCTAGATGTGGAAAATGAGCATTATCCACTTAAATGTAGTCACCAATGAACAGAAGTTTCTTAAAACACTGTGGAAAATGAGTGAATGTTTGTGCAGAATTGCTTCAAAATACAAAAAGAGTCCAAATTCACACGCACTTTTGCTCTCACTTGGATCTTGACAATTGAGGAGTCACCGAAGTTCTGTCATTTTGGGACCTGATCAGTCTGCCTCAGAGCCAGGTTTAGGGTCAAAAACCTGTTTCAGAGCTACAGCACCTTTATGAAGCTTTCCTTGCAGTTTTATTCATTCTGATCCGTTTGTGTTACCATAACACAAAGAGTGTTTTCTTAGTCACCTGTCACTGTTTGGACAAGCTTGTTCTTCAGCCCCACCTGTGTTACAGACGTAAGTCAGTGGAGGTGATGCAGCTCAGTCACCGCCTCTGAACATGATCATATTTTCTAAACCAGCTATTAAAGCAGCATGGTATCATGGAAACTCAAACGGAGAAGACAATATTGTTACAGTGTCCATGTGTAAAAACTAACACAACTAACGACACAGTTAGTAGAATATTATAGAAAACATTGGATTATTACCTGTATGTTTATTTACTGACAAAAATAGTAATACAGTGAGGCAGGGGTGTGCAAACGTTTTTCGAGGACCAAGTTTGATCCTAATATTTTGAGTGTGTGTCATGTTTACTATACATGCTTAAAAAGAGTATTGTGTATTTTAGGGCAGGTTAGACCAAAGAACTTAAGAATCCAATGTTTGTGAATGCTTCTGTTTTTTTCCCATGTTGAAAGGAAGGTTATTAATAAACAGCTGTTTGCTACAAGTTCATGGCCCATAAATTATCTAATTGGTACCCAAACGCACCAAAATAAAAAAAATAAAATGACTGAAAAGTTAAAAACGAATGGTACACATCATTAGCGCAAATTATGGTTTAAAAATCAAACAAAAAGCAAAGGCACGGAAAAATAGATTAAGAATAAACCAAAATATGTAAATGCTAACAAGAATGCTAAACATGGCTAAAAACATGACGCAGCTGAAATTTGCTCAAAACCTTTCTACTCATAACAGTTTAATAGTTAATAGTTTAATAATCGCTAAGCAGGATAGTAGCTGAATGTAAGCCAAAGATGCTAAATCATTTTTGACACAAAAACTGTGCAAATATCACAGTTGGTCCCCTGGCCATGCTTTGGGAAGATCAGCTGTGGAACATTTGGTTAAAGATTAAAGGAGACATTCATTCAAAGTTACAGCTTATATTTGCTGTAAACATTAACACAACACAAAGAGTAAAACAGCAGAAGGAGAATACAGTTAGTATCAAATGTTTTTCTAACTTTGTACAGTTGCAACGTGAGAACACACATTTAGACGGTTGTAAAATCAGTGAAACTCAAGCCAATCTGTCAGTCTGACACCAGTTGTGATATTACGTAGCAAAGCAAGGTCACAGTTATGCTGCATTTTCAGATATTGTGTAGAGACTTAACCAAACTCTGGCCCTAAGTTTAACCTCAGGCACATGAAGATATTAAGCTATTTCCTCCCTGAGGTTTAGAAGTTGTGCAAAGTGTCTTTCAGTGGTTATGATGTAGACATTTAATGGCAGACGCAGCTGTTTATTTTTAAAATAAACACAACCTTTTAGCATTTGTTTCCTTCTCTAGATCAGGGCATTCATGTACTGACTGTCTTTAGGTACATTTTTTGAGCCATGCCCTAGAATATAGAAAAATCTTTGAGTTTTAATTTTAGGTTTTAAATACTTAGATAAAACCTAAAAAGATCACCCAAAAAGTGCAATAAAAACAACCTATAATTAGTAAAGTAATTTTCATAAATTAATTGTTAATTAATTATACAATATTATAACAAACTCTCTTGATCAGGCTCTCAAAAAAGTAGGGGATTTCCAACTGACATTCCTATTAAAATTTCACTTTTTTTTTCATTTTTCGTAGGGTCATGGGACCACGAAAGGAGACATCCATTCACACTCACATTCATACCTCTGTTTAATTTGGAAGGAAAAATTAACTTCATTCTGCACCAGTTTGGAGTGTGGAGAAAAGCCACACACACACAGATATAATGTGCAGTTCCGTACAGATTATTTAAGTTAAACTAGAGGAACACATTTGTGTCATCATGCATTGCTCTGCTCCCGTTCGCAGCCTTATCTCCTTATTTCTGTGTCTCTGTTTTCACTCTTATCTTTTATTGACACACTGATAACACACGTGTCTCTGAAGGAAGCCTAATTAGGCCTAATGGCAGATGCAGTGGGAGGGAGTGTTGTTGCCGTTCTCATTCCCCGAGGATCGTGTGAGAAATACACACACGTACGTGGGTGCACCTACTGTGTGATCAGATGTTATTAAGACTATTATAACAGACAGATTTGACATGACCTCAGCTGTGCTGTAGAGTATTAGAGACTCCTCAGCTCAGGTCAGGAGGTCAATCCTGTTGTTTGGTGTCTCTCTAAGCTCTAACGCTGCAGTTTTAGCTGCAGGAGCTCGAGATCCTCGACGTTGATTTGTGGAAAATAATGTCTATAAATCCACATGAAAAAGGATAGGGTTTTAATTAGTCTAACTCGTTGCTCTTCCTACCACACCCAGATGAAGGAGCGTCTTCAGTGGGAACAGTAGAAATAATTAATCAGATTAAATGGTGCTGCAGTCTCCTCTTACTCATGTATAATCCAGCAGATCCTTCACATGTTGAACTGGCTCCGTTATACATTTCTCTGTGTGACGTGATGCTCCAGAACACAGAGGTATCACATGACAGCGCAGACAGTGAATCTTAGCTTCTCCTTGAGCAAAACCAGTTAGTGTCTGTACACGATTGCAACATGTTTTGGGCTATTTATGTGCAGACAGCACACAGTCTACAGTCTGTGAGGCAGAGTAAAAATTAACTTTTTTTAACACTGGCAACAGTTTTGTCCGGATGAAAGAAAAAAAACTCTGGATAATTTCCAACAAAATCCAGATTAATGTTAATTGTGCTACATTTTTCCAGTAAATCCTGGGCTAGGCTTTGAGTGATCACTTGTTCTAAGAGGTCACTTTTGGAGCTTCTTACACTCATTATTTTGTGTAGGTTTTAGTATGCAGGGCTGTCCTATCAGCTAACCTGTAGCTATGTCACCTTTTTCATTTTTAGACCCTCATTTTTTAAACCAATTTTTTAAAAATATTTTATCACCAAATATCAATATATCACCTAAAGATATATATATTTACCATTAGCTACATAATTGAGTCAATCATTTTTGGCTAATTGGTCAATTTCAGTTAACCTTTATCATGTTTTCCAACATTCATATTTTTTGCTAATTATTAGCAATACTGAGCTTACGTACTTACTTTTAAAATTACAAATTATGTGATCACAATATTTTATTTTTATATACCATGTATTTACTGTATTTCTAACTGATACTGCTAGGTGCATATTTTTTCCTTAAATGCTGCGTCTGTGTCAGTTGTTGTCTGGTGGTTGTATTTACTCCACAGTTCATCTTTTCCTGTTTGAAGCTTGTTTCGTTCCTTTTTTGTGTGCCACCTATAATCTACTTTGTTACATAACTTCCTTCTCTGGTCCATGTTATAAATACATTTGCTCAACAGTCTGTTAGCAGTAGGTCTGCAGCTCTTATCAGATACAATACATGTGTCCACTGTTTTCCCTCGGTGTTCATTATTGTCTTAAACACAGTATGAGACTGACCTTGGCTCTGGCTCCATATCTTGTGACTCATTTCTCCACCGTCTTCTGAGGTTTCCATCGAACTCTCCATTGTTGAAGTGAAGGATGGGGAGGTTTTGTGTTCACACTGTTGCTCCACCACTCTTTGATTTTCTGTCCTGACTTGTTTTTGTTTGTTTTTGTTGTATGAATGAGCGTAGAGACGTTGGTTGCCTCTGCAGGTGTGAAGCACAGTTTGTCACTGGAGCAAAATAAAACCTGTGACCTTCAAGGCCCTGATTTCCTATTTTGTCCCTCAGTAGTGGGTGTGGGTGTTCCCATGATGGCTGTTTGCCTAAGTATGATTCCATTGTAGTGTTTGGTCTGGCTGTCAGTCTGTTGTGGACTGGATTGGAGCCAGTGATGTAACTGAATGTCATGTCGCTCCTCAGTGTGATCTCTGTGCACTGGTAATTTGGTTTATTATGACTTAAGGTAACAACAAGTGCTGTCTAAATGAATGATCTAATCAGATTACAGTTGTCAACATATTTTAATCCATGCACGTTTGCATGTTTCCAGTAATTCCACTGTCCATCCACTAACCGTTGCTCTAGTACAGTGTCGATACACATGTTATTTACACACACTATGGAAACAGAGTTTTTGTTTCACAAATCACCTAAGGCTTAAAATACCTAAGACATTTGTGGATTTTGTGGAAGACGACATAGAGATGCAAAAGCAGAGGAGGGTGTATATTGTGGTAAATATATTGTGGTCAAGATGAATAAAGATGGAATATAAAGATCATACCTTTTTCTCCCTTTTCTTTTCCTGTGCGTCACTCAGGCAGACAGCGTTAGGATTTTTCTATTGTTCAAGTGCAGACTGGTGTTGCTTCTGTTTTCACCAGCCTCATTTCCAAAGCCTTTGTTTTGGTTTTGCATTTAAATGTCATCCTGTTAATCATATCCCATTGTTTCACTGTTCTTTTATGTATGTTTTATTTCCCAGGTGGCAGAGGTGATCGCCAGTATTCGCCAGGTGTCCAAATCAGCCCTGAAGGAAGAAACCAAGCCCAAACAGGAAAATGATGAAGCCTTCTACAACTCCCAGAAGTATGAAGTACTTTACTGTGGCAAGGTAGAATCTGTTTCTATGCAGAATCCTCAAACTTGATTGTTTTTACTTGGTCTGTTTCTATGCAGAATCCTCAAACTTTTTGATTGTTTTTACTTGAGGAAAAAGTAACTGGATGATTGTTATGTCCAGGTGACAGTGGGACACAAGAAGGCTTCGGCCACGCTCATCGATGATTGCATCGATAAGTTCCGTCAGCATGAGTTGGAGCAAAAGCGTTTGCGACTCAACGGTCGACAAGGCTCCACTGAAAATACTCCTGTGGAATTCTTCATGGGGAGTGAAGGCGATCCACTGTCGGCTGCTCTGAAGGAGAGCACAGAAAACCAGCCGCAGGACGTGACTGGAGCTGGAGGTAAAGGAACAGCCAGAGCTGTTTTAAAAAATAAATCCTGTTTTGATGGAATGATTCAGGGTTGGGCTCCTGTTCTCCTTTGGTGACATTGGTTGAGTTTATACTTTTATTTAGATTCAGGGTTGGGCTCCTGTTCTCCTTGGGTGGCATTGGTTGAGTTTATACTTTTACATATAACATTTATATGTATTTTACAACTAACTTTAAACTGAGTTTTGGAAACATTCTCAGTTTTTCCCATAGGTCAAGGACTTCCTTCCACTGCCAGCCAGAGCAGCCTGAGAGGATCCTTCCCAGAATGCATTCTGGAGGACTCTGGATTTGAGGAACCTCAGGAGTTTCGCACCCGCTGCAGCAGTCTTGCTGGGAGTCTGCAGAAGAAACCTGGTGAAGGGGTCATCATAGCTCCGAGTCGACGCAGGCACGCCAGCGCTCCGAACCACGTTCAGCCGTCCGACGCAGATAAGAACCGTACCATGCTCTTTCAGGTAACGTGCAGCAGGCTTCATTTCAGCTGCTGCGGCCCTGGGTTCAGAATGTGTTTGGAGTTATCTTACCTCTAAGTTCAACTGTCAGACTGTTTACGCTGAGAAGATTTATCAAAGTGTTTGTCTCACATCTAATCCAGTGCTTTCACATACCTTTACTGAACCAAGGGATGCACTTTATTTACAATACAGTCATCATTGTGCAGTAAATCGCCAATTATGTGCGTTTGCTGTATAGTTGCACAACACACAGTTAACAGTTTACACTGGATTTACTCCCAATTGCACAGCTTAGTTAGTTTTATGGACAAATGCAAAGTTACGCTGTATTTCTGACTTTCAGATTGATGTTTTCTTTCTCACGCCTGCTGCCTCATAAACTGTCTTTACAGAGTTTATCTGTTGTTCCAGAAAACCAAACGCCTGCAGGCCTCAGAGCTGTTTACCGTTTAAAAAAAACTCCTCCCTGCCTCAGCCTCAGCTCCAGCCTCTGAGCCTGTTGCTGCTGCAAATCATTTTTATGTGCACGTGGCCGACAGCCATAATGCACGGACGGCCTCTGCCATGTGTTCAGTTGAGCTACTCTGGCAGAATTTGTGACATAGGTGCTACTCATGATGAAATGTAGGGCTGTTATGTTACAGCTGCTAAGAAAAGTCTACAAAGCCTGGGTGAATTTAAGTTGTTTTTTTTACCATGTCAAACAATGACACAACAATATATATTTTTTGGAACTGCAGGTTATTATGTCTGTTCAGAAAATGACCACTGTTGTCTATCATTCTGTAATGGTCAAGGAGGACATTTTTGGCCATATTTCTAAAAAGTACAATTGGTAAAAGAAGAATGGCAACTTTTATTGTTTTGCAACTACATTATTTCCTTGTCTCCCTGGTGAGTTTTGGATTAACCTACTTTGAAATGTACTGGTTAGAATTGTTTTTAAAGATTAGCAAGGTCTCATGTCCTTGACCTCTGCCAAGTAGTGCAATGACAGTACTGTGTCAAAGGTCCTGGGAAACGAGAGTGATTGTACTGTCACTGATTGTACTAATTTAGATCAAAATGCTGGCATTTTAACAAGGAGTGTGTAGACTCTTTATTGCCTCTGTTTGGGAAACACCCGTGCTGCAGCAGAGTGAACCAGCTGCCATTCATGAAGCTAATTTTAAAAACTAGAGCACTCAATATGACACAGCGGAGTCGATTACATGGAGAGTCAATGACCCAGACCTGGTTACATTGATTGTTCTGAATGTGTTTATATGTATGTGTGTGTGTGTGTGTGTGTGTGTGTGCGGGTGCGTGTGCGTGTGCATTTGTTGTCTGTCATTGAACAAACCTTTTGTCACTCCATACTTACATCCATGTTTAGTTTCCAACAATGAAGTAAAACAGACTGTAACCACTGTTACGACCCCCTCTGACCAACGTTCACTTCACAGGTGGGTCGTTTTGAAGTCAACCTCATTAGTCCAGACAGTAAGACTGTGGTGCTGGAGAAGAACTTCAAAGAAATCTCATCCTGTTGTCAGGTTGGTTTATTTTTACCTTCTGTGTTTACACTAGGAGTGTTTCTCTTGTGTCTCTGCTGCAGTTACAGGCAGAGGATACACCTGATGATGTTGGTGATGACATCAGGGTCTTTAAATTCCTAATTTAGTAAAAAATGACATAACCATTGGTTCTGTAGAAATATTAACGTCCACCGTCTAATATCTTAAATGAACAGCCTTAATGATGACATGAAGCAGGTTTTATTGGTTTGACTTACAAGGTCAAATTCAGTAAATAAAAATACTTTAAGGTATCTGTGTTAAACAAGCACATGAAAAAAACTGTTTTGGGCAGATTTCAGCCCTTAACCAACTTTCACCACAAGGAAAAGTGACCAATCCCTACATCTGAAAGCAGCTAAATGTTGCTACAGTAGGCTGAAGGTCAGTAAACCAGTGGTTAGCCAAAAGCTTAAGAATAAAAATGGGCTCTAAAAGGAAAGATGGATGCACAAACGTTGGTCAAAGGTTTGCTAATATGCCAAATTTTTATATCTTTTAATTCTCTGTTTTTTTGTTACCAATTCATTCTCAAATGCTCAAATGGTGTGATGTAACTTTGTTGTAAGCGTCTACAATTAAAGGAATATTATTCTTACTTAGGAAGAAATAAGTTCAAAAGTAAACAACACAGAATATAAAAGGTCATCAAGACACACATTCCCTGGCTGGAGTTTCTAACTTCCTGTTTCTCTTGACTCTCACACAGGGAATCAGGCAGACCGACCATTTTGGGTTCATCTGCAGAGACCAGTCAGAGTCTGGGCAGAGTCAATATGTCTGCTATGTGTTCCAGTGTGCCAGTGAGTCTCTGGTGAGTCACACAACACATTCGACTGTGTGTGTGTGTGTGTGTGTGTGTGTTTTCAATCTTACTGAATTTAATATGTGGTTTGTGTCAGGTGGATGAGGTGATGCTCACCCTGAAGCAGGCCTTCTCCACAGCGGCGGTCTTACAGAGCAACAAAACCCTCATCCAGCTGTGTGAAAACTGTCCCATGCATAAATTGCACAAGCTCTGTGAGCGGATAGAAGGTGAATCCACATCCTCTCTGGATTCATTCATGAATAAATTAAAGTGTGATATGGTGTATTTGTCTGAGTTAAACTAAGGTGTTTTTTTCTAACCCTCAGGTCTCTATCCACCCAGAGCAAAGCTAGCCATTCAGAAATATCTGGCACAGCTGATGGACAATGAGCAGGTTGAGATTTTTGAGCGTGTTCAGGTGAGGTTTGCTGGAAGAAGGGTTGTAATGGTACAGAAAAGCCAAGGTTACATGTACATTTTCAGTACGAAAAGAAATGCGGAAAATGGAAAAAAAAAAAAAGGTTTGATATGAATACATGTCCCATTACAGCCCTAATTTTTACCCCTTTTTGGCACTAAAGTGCACTTAAGTGTGCTGAATTCGGCTTCTATAAAAAACACATTTGTTTCATGTGAGTCATTTCTAATGTTGTGTTTCCACTCCTGGTGCGTTACCGTGTCCGCAGAGACTGAAGCCTGGTTCAGACCAGGAGGAGAATGAGCTGGTGATCCTACATCTGAGGCAGCTGAGTGAAACCAAACAAAAGACCCACCTTCACATCGGTGAAGCCCCTCAGGTAAACCTCTTCTGCAGTTCCCACCAAGTTATAATAATAAAAAAAATTAGTAAATGCTGAATGTGAATGATCATGAAGCATTTAGTTCATAATTAATGAACTGTCACTGTGGACAAGGCCACACGGGGATTGTAAAAAAAAAAGCTGTTGAAAACACCTGTCTGTGTATATGTATTAATTAGATTATACTCACACTACAATGGATTTTTTAGATGTGTAAATTTTCCACATCACGAGTTTAAAAGTAACATTAACAAAAAGTCATACTAAGCTGAAATCAAGTAACAATACATGAATTTAAATGATTTCTAAAGAAAAAAATATAAAATATAATATTGATTCCATGCCTTTCTTGTTCTTTGTCCTTGTTTGACAGAATGCAGCAAACTCAGCGTCAGACAGCTCAGCCTCCAGCAGTCGCTTCAAACTCGACATTCTGAAGAATAAAGCCCGCACCTCCCTCACTAGCTCTCTGGAGAATATCTTTGCAAGGGTGAGTCTGGAGAGAGACTGTTTTGTTTTTTCTTCTCTATTTTTAGCTTTTCTTTAATTCTAACATTCTCTCTTCTAAAGCTGTCCCTTTTTAAAAGAAATCAAGCTCAAACTAATTTTAGATGTCACACTAGAACCTTGCAGCACATGGTGAAAGCATTCTTTGCAGTTTGCTTCCTATGAAGACCACCGGTCCGATACCTGAAGGTCTGAATTTAATTTAAACTGGCCAAAGGTGAAGAACAGTAGATTTGTAAAGATATTTAAAGATCTGACATTGCATCTTTTTTACATATTTTTTGTTCCATGTCCATTGAAGCCATAATCCAAAATAAATACAGCACGACTAACTATGGCTGTCCTTTGTCAAGCAAAACTATAGTGGAAAAACTGAACTCTTTGGGTTAGTACAATTTAATAAGTTGTAATTTGCACCACTTCACGTGCTTTGATGTTCCATTTGTTCATCCAGGAGGGCTGTAGAAACCTACAACAAATATCAAATCTTGTCTCATGTCTTACAAAGCAATGTGCTGAACTGAATTAACAACAATGGAAGAGAGGCATATGATGAAGGTCTGTAGAAGGCACAAACAACACTTCACAGGTGCTTTTGTTTCTAACAGGAGACTATTTAGCTTGTTTGATAAAAGCAAAAGAAAATCTATCCTATTGTCTACTGGACCAGTTTTCAAAAGTCAGTGGAAAGCCCATAAAAATAATATATTAATAATTCTTCTCTCACAATTGTTTATGTACAAAGATTGTACAGATTTGTTGCTAACACAAGAACATAATTTTCCACTAAGGTAAAAAGTGGAAATCTCCTGTGACCCCAGTTCATTGTTAATCTAATCTCATTCCCATCATTTTGACTTATCCCAGAGAGGATACAGTAAACATGCATTAAGTCAAATTTGAGTTTTTCTATTCTGTTTGTAACTGTGCTGCTGTTCTTGAGGCAGTGTGACTCACGGTGTTAGGGTTAACCCATATCTATAGGAGAGATGGCAAAATATTGACTTAGTCCCAGAGTCCAGACAAATCAACAACTGCTTCCATCTGATTTTATCTCAGAGATCTCACTGGTGCCTTTACGTGTGATTGTTGGCATGTTTCGCCATTTATTTATTGCCTTATTGGTTTACTATCCTTGTGTTTTTAAAAAATAGCACTGATTCTTTGTGACTACAAAGATTTCAAGTGTGTATATAGATCCAATTGTGCATCCAGAATGTGTTTTCATTTGAATACTTGCTCTCTGTCACCAGGGGGCGAGCCGAATGCGGGGCCGTCTGGGAAGCATGGGAAGCATTGGCAGCTTTGACAGAGTAAGTGTTTATGTGGAGCTAAATTTGCAAACCATTGCGAATTCCTACTTTTTCACTCTTTTATTTTTGTCTGCAGCTAAATATGGAATCTACACTGTTTTCCCACATTAGTTTTGTAGGTGCCATAAAGCAGTGGCAGAAAGGCAGGTCGCTGGAGTGGGGAGTGTGTATTTATAGAAGTACGAGTGAGCCATTAGTGGTTGTAGGCTGCTGTGTATCAGTGCTGTGTAGAATGTGCAGTGAAGGTGTGATGTCTGACCCTCCATTAGTTGTGGCAGGGTCAAGAGTTGTTTTTAAAAACTTAAACAATGACTATTGACTATTACCCACAAGGCAACATTTTCTTTGTTTTGACACATAAAGCTAGATGACACATCACTATTGATTAACTTGCTCTTGTCAAATTTTGTCACTGCAAGTAATTATGGAGAGAAATCAACCTGAGGAGGTTGAGCCAGCTCCACCTAGCATGTCAGGGGTTCAATTTCAGCTGCTATAGTAAGAAATGAGAAATCATGGTGCTAATGTTCTAACCTAGTTTAGCCAAATCAAGAGTAGTGTCGACATAATGAAAACAGATCTATCTTAGTGTCCTTTTTAAAAAAAAAAAACAGCTTGTGTTTTTGTTATTTTTTCCTCTATAAATATGAGCCATTAGTTGAGAAAATTAACCCCAAGCAGTGTTCAAATCTTGAATTTCTGCTAAAGCTACCATATTTGTTGTCACGTGGACATGTAAATATTAGTTTGGAGCAGTACAAGTTTAACTTTATCAAACACATAGGGCAAAAACCCAGATGTAGTCTTAGCAGCAAGAAGCTAACATTTTAAAACAAACTGCCCTGTCTGCCCTCAGCACAATCACTACAATAAAAAAATACAGTAGCTTCAGCTTCTATCTTATCGTTTATTTATTTTTATATCATGCTTAATAAACTAAAAACCCATTTATTTGTTGGGTTAGATGTTCCTTATCAGCTAAGTTGCTAACACCCTCCCTGTGCCTACATGCTAATGTTTTTTTGAGTCTTGATCAGGCTACTGTTATCTTGTGGTTTTGGGAAGCAAGCAGTTAGCTTCCCCTACAGACAAAAAAGGGAACAGAGGCAAGCCAGCTCATACTGTCCACCAGAGTATACTGTTTTTGAAGTAGACTACAGGGGCTGATGATATCCACTGGAGTTAATTTTTGGGTTTTGAAAGCTGAGTAGCATGTATAGATGTATACATTTTTTTTAGATACTACTATGGCTTCAAGTCCATTTTTTTGTTCTCTCAGAATCACAAATGACAACGATTCTTGGGGTATAGTCTTGGGGGTTAATCATACAACTGCTTCTTCAAGATCATGTCAATATACATACAGATTTGGAAAATGTGCAAACCTCACACACCACACAATTGGAATGTTGCAAAAATATTGACCAAAATATTGGTCAACTTATGCAGACTATTGGTTCCTCTGTGTAGTATATACTGTATATATACACAGTATATATATATACATATATGGTGCCTAGCTTGTCTTGCAAATATAACTGTTGAGTTCTGATGATGTAAAAGTGTCAGGATGGTAATGGCGGTCAGGAAACTCATGTCAGGATGTCCAGTGTCATTACTGCTGAGCCAGACCTGTTCTGGTTTCCTCTTATCGTCTCGGTCTCCTTTACAAATGAATAAACCCCAATGGAACAAGTAAGTTAACTGGGATTATACTGTACATACGGTACCTCAATATATGGCCATTCATATCAGGATAAGATGTCGATGAACGCCTCCTGTCATGTGGTATTATGTAGAGGGATGTTTCCAGAAGCACACTCAGAGGAGATTGGAGGGTTTTATTGCTGCACTGACACACTCCGATCCTCTCCACCAATAGCGCTCGATGCCATGAGTCACAGGACATTGTGCATTAGAATACAATAGCGGTGGGAGTCGTAGTGTTAGACGCAAGGCAACAAGAGTGTGAGTGTGTTGAGTGGAAAGTTGAGCCTGAACTGGACTGGACTAGAGTCCTGCTCTGGGGTTTCATTGGTTAGGTGAGTGCAGACCTGTAATATGAGTGTGTTTGTTTGGCTGTGACTTCTGCCTCTGAAATACAAAGAGCTGTTCATAGCTGTGTGTAGTTTGTACTTGTATGTAGAGTAAGTAACATTAAATGTACGCTGATATTCACCTGGGTAGAAAATCCATAGCTTTTAACATGATGTTTTGTCTCCTTTTAATTATTTTTCTGGGGAGATTTGATAATTATCATTGTGGTTTAATGTAAACAAAGAAGCCATGTCTAGGCTAGGTCCTTCCAGGCTAGTTCACAAACTCTTTAGTTTTAGTCATTTTAATCTAAATCTATCTTTTATGTACTTCACATTCCCTACTCAAGCAGGATGAGGAATCCCCTGGTCACTCCCCTCCAGGTTCCCCGCCTGCTTTCCCTGAAGATGACCCAGAGGCAGGGCAGCAGTTCCGGCGCCGTGCCCACACCTTCAGCCATCCACCTGTGAAGAAACGCATTTCATTTGAGGGTCAGCCTTCCACACAAGTAAAACAGACTGTGTTGTACAGACAGCAGTCTGTGAACCCAGAGCTGCTGCAGAGCAGGTAACTCACCCACTCCTCACCCCTGTCAGTTACTGCATCAATAAGGAATGGTATTTGGTAGATTATGCATAGAATAGCTGTCCGAGTTGATGATATGGCTAATGCTTATTCTGCTGCATTGGAATCAGTATATGTTGCAGGTTTCTGAAGGTTGAGTATGCAGGTCTGTCAGAAGGTGTCCACTGCAGATTGAGTTATACATACAGTTGAATGCCCTGGATCAGTTGTTGACTCTGTTGGTACAATAGTGTTTGTTTTGTTTTTAGTTTTTAAACTATTCTAGACTTAGGCCAAAAAAAAACCAACAAACCCACCATTCCATTTAGCTTATTAGTTTATGTTTTCCTAAAGATTGTTTTTCTGTCTGTTAGCCATGTTCTGGGCTAACTCCTGGTAATATTATTGCTAATATTATGTTATTGTTTTATCTGTGAAGTCTTTTATGGACAGGTCCTGCATACTCTACCTGTAAAACCACTAACGGAACATTAACTCGTCCCACCTTGGAGCCCACAGCCGTTGTTAGTCTGTCTGCAGCATTTTTGATCAATCCTGATCTCTTCACCTCATGCTCCACTGTTGTTGTGGACAATAGCGTCACACGTTTCCTGTCACTGTTCTGGTCCTTCATCACTTCCTTTCTTGTTTTTGCTCTGCTTCCACCAGAAGGCCTTCATTCTCCCCCTTTTTTGTGTAATGTTTTTTTTTATTTCTATTTGTGGGCATTTCGCGTGCAGCTCGGCTCGCTTCAGTGCCACGGCGGTCTCAAGAACGCGCAGCGTCTCGGAGAGCGAGACCTCCTTCAGCCTCCCCTCCTCCTTCCCTGCTCCCACTTTCCTGAAATCCTTTTACCAGGGCTCACTGGGTTCCCTCAGCTCCCTCAGCTCCCTGACAGACAGTGGGAGCCACAAGAGGTGAGAGGGGGTGATTGGAACCACCCCCGCTTAGACCCAACTGCACCGACCAGGGACATGACATGGGAGGGATGTGCTAAGTACCTGTGGCTGGAATGTTGGCTGTCGAACCTTTTTAACACCATGCTTTTTGTCGTTTTTGTCCTTCCATTCTTTCCTCAGCAAGTTTAAAAAAAAACAAAAACTTTCCAGCTTTTTTTCCCCCTTTCATACCATCTCAGCAGTTGGACCCACCCTCTTCCTGTTTCCCTCCAAAGTTGAAGAGGATGCTACAAAAACATTTATCTCATCTGTCGCATTTGCATGTCAACCGCAATCTGCTTTTATTTTTCCCTCAGCTTTTACACTTATTAGTGGTATGCACTTCATGTGGTTGATTCTAGTAGTTTTATTATTTCAATTAGTTCTGATAATTTTGCTTCAAGTAAAGAGCTGTTAATCACCAGTGCACAAATGAAACAACAAGATGTTGAGGATTTCTAAGATCTTTCACTTATTTAGCAGCTAGAATTGCAAAAATCAATGTTTCATACTGAGGTGAATGACAGACTGTCACTCTACACTCTACAGGAAATAGGTTGATTGTGGGAGAGTTGTGGGTTTAAATCTCCACGTGTCTTGAGTATTGTACCTAAACTCCCGTGTTCTCTGGGCCCAGCGAAGTGTGGCACTGGTCCTCTTCATATAAGAAGCTAACCTACACGAGCGAGGTGTTAAAACGGCTGGATTTCCTCTTTAAAGATAACATGTTGTACAGTTGAACTTATATGGATATACAGACATGTTAACATGGTGATGTGTTCACTGCCTGTGACATCACTTTATTACAGCCAGTGTATTTTGTTACTGACAGGAGAACATAATAAAATACACACAGGATGTTGAGCAGAACAGCTGTAGGAGCAGTAGCTGTTGTTCCTGTGACATTTGCCTCCAACCAAGGTCACTTCCTGTTTTTCATTACGATCAGTGCTTGTGTGCTGACCAAAGCTTATTTACTGATACGCTCAACTTAATCACAGTGAGTGCCACACGAAAAAGTGTTATTTGGAAAACAAAACAAAAAAAAAAAAAAAAAGAAAGGCTAGACTGTAAAAGTAAGTAAGTAGAAAGATTTTATTATTCACTTTATTAAGTTGAACTAATAATGTGTTTTTGTGTCACTGTGCTGTTGCATTGACTTTGGCAGCACAGTTGGGCAATATATATATATGGTCTTGTCGAGCATAACAAAAAAACTGTTGTCCTCCTGGTCTTGTACCTGGGGTCATTGATTTATATTGTTGATTTGTTCATTTTCCACCACTGAATCATTTTCAGGGTTAACAGCTTATTGTGTTTTCTAATATTTTGGTGCATTTTACTGTGTTTTCTTTTCAGCCTAGTAGGTCTGGGTTGTAAGCCTTGCTTACAAGAGATTAGTTGTATACAATTAAGTGACTCCAGCTCTAACATCTTTTTGGCTGATGTTTTTTTCCAGTTTACTAAACAAAAGCAGCTTCAATTTCAGCTGATGGCCAGTCCTGCATGAACATCAACTCTGGCTGTAATTCTGCTTCATTAACATTGACAGTGGGAATCAGTTCATGTCTAACATGTTTTCATTGGTTGATGCTGGTTGTTTTTTTTTACCAGCATGAACAACTGACGTGTGTCTAATGTTTCCGAGGCTGCAGAGTAAATGCTTGTGTGTGTGCGTGTGTGTGCATTTGTAAAAAGATCACTGATGTTGTAAGACAACACCTAAAGCTGTGGTCTTCCCACACAGCAATGGTGAAGGCAGGAAGAGGACGCTGTCTGGCTGCAGCAGTGACTCACTGACCGGAGGCCTCCCTCCGACCCCGCGCAGGGTCTCCTGGAGACAGAAGATCTTCCTGAGGGTCGCCTCGCCCCTGAACAAGCCATCTACATCCATGCAGCAACCAGGTCTGGTAACACAATCCTTTTCAGAAAAGAGAACTGGCAAGACACAAAAATGAATAATGAACTACACTCTGAATAAACTAAAGGTAACGAACAGCCTTGCCTCATCAGTAACGATGAGGCAAGCGTGGGTGTCAAGAGGAACATTGTGCCAGATACAGCGGTCTCTAAAAATCCACTGCTCCTGCTGTGAAACCTTAATCAATTAAAATTAATTAAAAACTTAATTAAACCAATTTTCAACCTTGCACCTAATCTATACACCTAATTTTATGTTAGTATTCTGGTATTTTTAGTATCGTAAGTATTTAGTTTATCTTGAACCACAAGATAAATATAAGTTAGACAGGAGCTAAGAACTAAAGCTTAGCCCAAAGTAACTTCTGTTTAACCAAAAAGAGATGATTCAAGATGACAAAATTCAGCAGATATTGCTGCAAGCTAAGTTTGAACGGTAAATATGATGATTGTTATCTTTCAACATTGCTAATGGAATAATTGGTGAAGCAATTGGAATGTGGGTTATATGATATATATATACTATATATATATATACAGTATATATCTTCTTTTTCAGACCATGCCAACTCAAGGGAGCTGTTGCCTCTCTCTCCTCGACATATGGACTCTGGTCTTGATCCTATGGGGTGTTTGCTGCCACCTAAAGGTGACTTCCCTTCAGGGGAGCGGCCTAAGAAAACACCAGCAGAGTACAGGGCTCTCTGGAAGACAGCCATCCACCAGCAGATCATTCTGCTGCGCATGGAGAAGGAGAACCAGAGACTGGAGGGTGAGTCAGTCACAGTATATATATACTATCTTAGCATTTACTTTGTCTTAGCATTTACTCACGGACAAAGACAAGACTCTACCCCATTTTCTAAAAAAATAGGCACACAAGATGCAAGTTGTATACCTGCATATTTTACTTCACTGCTCCTATAAAGTGAAGGGAAATCTATATGAATTCCAACACAGTTTGTTTGTACATTTACGCTTGTATGTTTGTTTGTGTTAATTATTTATTAGAAATATATTGTCTTCAGATTCCTCAAAGTAAAAAGAAACGCCAAAGGCAGTTTTTACTAAACACTACCCCCTGGTGGTCCCTTAGTAGTAGTGTCTTGGTGCAACACAACCACTGGATTCTCTCTCGAATTCGTATTTAAATGAGGAATGAAAATTGTTTCTGATATAAATATCTAACCATCATTGAGTTACTTTGTATTTTATATTTTCTGTGAATTGCTATTTGTCTTACTTCTGGGGAAAGATATATATATATTAAAGCAATTTTGGCTGACCTTTAGCTTACATGGGACCTTTTTATTTGATTTACTTTTAGTTAACATTTTCTTAAATAGAAAGGTGCAGCTGTCTTGTTTTACTGTCATCTTATATGCGTTGACCACAACAAGAGCTGAACATTTCCCATTCAGCTGTTGCAGAATTGAACACCACACTTTCTGACTGTATTAGATGCTTCTATGAAAGTAGAAGGTGCCGTTTTTTTAGGTAAAAGTTAAAGCTACGCTGTGTAGCTTCTGTCATTTTTGTAAACCAACACATGTCTTTTTCTTTATCCGTTACTATGGCATCTATGCTGGTCTGAGGACCTTACTGTGAAAAACCATTTTTCAATAGAAGGTAAGTGATATGAAAGGGAGGTGTTGGGGTCAAGGCAGAGGGTTTGCATGGCTCTGGGTGTCTTTATTCAATCCATTCATTTCAGGTGGAGTTTTGTTTCTGCATGATCAGGAGCGGTCATATTCCCTTTCATGGTGTTTCTGTCACATTTTGCTTTCATGTTTCGCCTCTTTATTCAAATCTAGTTTCTTCACGACTGTGGCATAATAAAGATGTTTTTTGTTTTATTGTGGGTCCTGTGGCTTGTGTTTACACGGTGAGCTTTTTACAGTGTACATAAAGCTGCTCTAACATTCAGTGACTGGAATCCTTTATATTCTTTTACACAATAGAAGTCCTTTTATTTTTGTCTAGTGCCTTGTTTAAATTTTTTAATGGACAAAATAGTGTTTAATTATTTTAGTTTTTTTCTCCTGTGATTGCGTTGCAGCAAGCAGAGATGAGCTACACATCCGGAAGATGAAGCTGGATTATCAGGAAGTGGGCCAGTGCTCCAAAGATGCACAAGGATTGTGGGAGAGAAAACTCACGGCTCCAGGCAGAACAACCGTCCCACAGGACAAGGAGGAAATGTATCGCGCTCTGTGTCAAGGTAAAAGATGTGTGTGTGACTGTGTTCTCCTGTGTGTAGGAGGATGCACTGGTGTAACAAAGTCATATGTCAGGGTGCTAATGGTACATATAAGCAGGAAGATCACAGGTTGTTCACAAGTTAGACAGTTTATCTTTCTGTATGCAGTTTGCATGTTCACCCGATGTGTGTAGATTTCCTCCAGGTACTCTGGTTTCCTCCCACTGTTCAAACACACGTACATCATGACATCGTTTTGATGAAACACTCTAAATTGACTTTAGGGAGCTTTGAGTAGATAAGGTTTGCAAAAATAGCTCAAAATCAATGAAAGTTCAAACTGGTAAAATGATTCAGAAAGATAACTACAAGTTAGCTGAGAAGTACCAATAAGATAACAATTCTGTTTAAATAGTGTTTTTTTTTTAAAGACAACTTTGTTGCATTTTTGCTCAAGATGACTAAATGTTTGACAAATACCTAAAGATTTCTAATAGATTAATCATGGCAAAAAGTATCTGAGGATTACTTAAAATCAAGTCAGAAGTAGCTAGAGCCAGAGCTAGCAAAAGAAGCTAAATGTAAGATTGAAAAAAAATAGCTAATAGTTAGCTAAAATATATCTCCTGCATTGATTCAATCATTTCTCCAAAACATCTGGCTGGACATTATAGTGACTTGTGTTAAAATATCACATAACTACACATAACTATTGTTGAACTCTTAGAGAACTTAGATGAGATGTAAGTTTTGCACAACAAGTAGAACTACTCTAAGTATCTGTCAGCTGATGAATTCACTCTCAGTGAGACTGAGGACGACTGGACCTCTTTTGTCCTTGTGTGTGTACACTGAACCCTCAGGGTCTGTTGCAGCATGTGGTGAGTGAACACCCTGTAACACGTTCAGTGAGTGCTGTTTTTGAGCTCATGCAGCTGTTATATTTGTACATAGGTGTTCCTAAGATCAGACGAGGGGAGGTGTGGCTGCTGCTTTCTCATCAGTACCGTCTGCGTCACAAACTACCGCAGCGTCAACTCTCTCCAGACACCCCTTACCACGACCTGCTGAAGCAGCTCACAGCCCAGCAGCACGCAATTCTGGTGGATCTAGGTGAGGATCTGGATTTAAAAAGAGATCTCTGTCTGTTGTCATTACCTCATCAAGATAATGACACTGACATTGTATTGTGATCTGTCTGGCAAAATGTATGTGCACATATAGTACCACGTGGATCCACTGGGGCCAAGGATATACTGGGAGTTTGTCATTTAGTTTCAATTGATGATGGCACTCCTGAATCAGCCATCAAATCCCTGGGATTAAAGTATTAATAGTTATACCTAACTGACCTTTTAACTAATTAAGGATATTTCTTAAAATTACCTACAGAATACTGCATACAGAATTACCCAAAAAGTTACCAACAACAAAAGTCCAGTCTAGAAATGCCTTAAAAGTTTCTGAAAAGTATCTGAACAATTTAATATTTTTTATGTAAACTTTAACAAAGAAAGCTAGTGTTTCACTAACAGGTAAATAATTGTTAGCTTGGAAATCAATTAAAGTTAGCTAATCTAAAAAAACAAAAAACATTTCATTATGTATCAATGTTGACAATAGTAATTAACCTGTATTAGCAAGAAGTTAACACAAAATGTCAAAAATTTAACTAAAGCTAAGGCCAGATATCAAAAAATTAGAAAAAATGTTTTTGTTGTATCTTTTTTTTCATACTTTTACTTTAATATACTATAGTACTTTAAAATACTTGTTTAGTACCAACTTTATAGTTCTTTTTGCGTCTTCATTCCACACAGTAATTGTGAAGAAATAAAGAAAACACCCAGAGCTCAGAGTATACTCCTCCACTAATAACCCCCCTTCTGCCCCCTCTTCAGGCAGGACCTTCCCCACTCATCAGTACTTCTCAGTACAGCTGGGTGCAGGACAGCTCTCCCTCTACAACCTGCTGAAAGCCTACTCTCTGCTGGATACCGAGGTAGGTCCTGTAAACCTGTTTTCTCTTCACAGGAAGCCACAGTAACTGTCCCGATGTCAGGAGTGTCATGTGTTCTTCCCTTTCTTCTTCTCTGCCACACAGGTTGGCTACTGCCAGGGTATCAGCTTCGTGGCTGGAATTCTACTGCTGCACATGAGTGAGGAGCAGGCCTTTGACATGTTGAAGTTCCTCATGTACGACCTCGGCATCAGGAGACAGTACAGGCCGGACATGATCTCTTTGCAGGTCAGTCCTCGACCCTCAACTACAGTATAAACTTGTATGAATGATGTACACACAAAATAACTTCACTTGGTGTAACATTGAAAAATCAACGTTACACGTTTATGTACTGTTGGAGGTCCCCTAGCTAGCTAGCTAACTATACAGTCAGCCCCACAGTGTGCACCATGGGAGTAACCACAGCAGTCTAGGTTGATAGTATTGACTGCAGGAGTTCTCCCAGCAGTCCAAGCCTATTTTAAAATGTAACTATTCCTTTCAGTTTGGTTTCTTGTATTTGAAACCTATCAAATAAAGTGTTACTCAACTCAATTTGTGACAAAGACCTAATAACAAAATTGCCAAAGCTGTTGGTGACGCCAGAGAGACGTGTTTTAACATGTTTTGGCCATTAAAGTACAGTACCTAAGAACTAAGAAAGTGGGCAGATAACAAATATGAACCAGCAAAACTGAAGGAACTTCAAAGTATTTTAGGTTCTGTCAGTGCAGAGCAGGACTGGACATCACTCGACTGTGTGTGTATGTGTGTAGTTTGTTAGTCAGCAGAGAAGTGTCTCCACCTCTTCTGGTGAAGCCACACCTGCACGCCTGCTCCCCTCCAGTGAACATCAGCTGACCTCAGTGCAGTGAGAGCATCAGCAGGCGTGGTAATGTTTAATCTGTAGCAGGTAACGATTGAAAGCGGCCACTCAGCTCCCGCGTCTGTCGACACCGTTTCTTCAGAGCATTCCACAGACTGGATTTTGTGGTTTTGTAAGTCTGTGAATGTAAAGCTACTTTGTTTTCTTTGTAACTGTCAAGAAACTGTCGGATGATAAGACACTAAAACTGGCTCAGCTTTACTTCTGCTTCTCTTTTTTGTTTGCTGCACATTTTGCTGTTTTTTTTTTCTGCAGATTGTGAAAGACTCGCTCCTGGCTTTGACACTTGTCTCAGCAGGTCTTTTTTTTTTTTTTACAAACCACTCTGCTGATTCCACAGGAGCTCCCTGCTCCATTTGACGACCGGTGATTCATAGACGGCCCTTTTATACTCGGCTCCGCTCAGATCCAGATCTACCTGTTTGTGCCAGCAGAGCGTGTTTCGACCTGTTAATGCTTTTATCACTAAAGTGTTTACGTGTGTGCGATGTGTGTGTTTGTGCAGGTTCAGATGTACCAGCTCTCCAGACTGCTTCATGATTACCATAGAGAGCTGTACAACCACTTCGAGGAGTACGAGATCTGTCCCAGCCTCTACGCAGCGCCGTGGTTTCTCACCCTTTTCGCCTCACAGTTCCCTCTCGGCTTCGTTTCCCGCATCTTCGGTACATTTATGCTCACATCAGTGGACAGTCACACTTAAACAGCCCTTGGGTGGCTATAAAAAAAGTGTTTAATTTGTTTGTTTTTGTTCCTCCAGATTTTCTCTTCGCCCAGGGCACTGAGGTGATCTTTAAGGTGGCCCTGTGTCTGCTGAGCAGCCATGAGGGCGAGATAGTGGAGTGCGACAGCTTCGAGAGCATCGTGGACTACCTGAAGACTACACTTCCCACACTCACTCAGGCTCAGATGGAGCAGACCATTGCAAAGGTACAAAGTGCAACTTAAATACAGAGTCAGGTTTCCAATTAAGCCCAGTGAGCTGTGTCAACAAAACCCATGTCACATGATGAGCCACTGGTTATGGGCTTGACTGTAAAAGACTGGAGAATGTGTCACAGCACTTCAGTTCTCATCCCAATATTTAAAAAAGGCAGTCTTGTCAAATATTGACCCTCGAGTAGCTAAATGATATTGAGCAACAGGTGCTGTTATGTAAGTAGTTCCTTTGGGCTCAAACCCAGGACCTTCTGTGTGTAAGGCAGTTGTGATAACTGCTACACTAGGAAACCACTAAAACATCTGGGAGATGGCGGGGGTTTGAACCCCAGACCTCATACATTCAGCAGGCACTCTACCACTGAGTTACATCCCCATTGTAGATTAGCTGAGTGTAATTAACATTAGTAAAAATATAGGTACTATAAATCGTATGTAACCAAAACACAAAAGTGTTTAAAATAATAATTTTTAAAAAAAATAATAATAATAAAGTTGTTTTTTTTAGATTTTTGAAGGCACTGAATTAAATACATTATTTAAAATGTCTTCGATTACAAAGACCAGATGACTGTAGTCACGGTGTCCGTGTGTATGAACCAGGTGATGGAGATGGACATCTCCAAGCAGCTCCATGCTTATGAGGTGGAGTACCACGTGCTCCAGGATGAGATGATAGAAACAGGTCCTCTGCCGGATGACTCCGACCGTCTGGACAAGCTGGAGAAGACCAACGCACAGCTGAAGAAACAGAACATGGAGCTGCTGGAGAAACTTCAGGTGAGGAGAAGAGGAGAAGCTCCGTTTCCCATGGACACTATGTGACCAAGACCATTATTGTTTATTACTTCTAGCTGTACTGCCTGTTAACCTTTACCCTGACCTGATCTGAACCTTTTTTATGTCAGAACTTGTCAGGTAAATTTGTAGCTGCAGTACCACTTACCACCAATAGATGGTGGTAAAGTATAGATAAAACTTACACTAATAACGGAAGACAAAGGAACAGTTCTTCTGTTTACATGTACCCCAATATCCCAGTATTATTTCAACAATAGCTCTGTACATATTTGAACTCAAACCTTTAGAACATTTTCATGATTATTTACTTCAACAAACACATAACTGTGTCTCACTGCCTTTTTTTACCGTAATTCCTTAGACCTGATGTCTCTTAATCCATTCCATTGATTTTTATTTGTTAAGCTGTAAATGGAGTAAACAGCTAATGAATAGGTCTACTGGGGAGTTAGTTTGGATAAGACAAACAGTGATGTGGTTTAAAAGACATGATTAACGTGTTTAAAAAACATAAATGTCCCCTTGTTTGTACACTATCGAAGATCAATTGAAAATATGAATCTGAAATTAAATAAAAAAAACTGATGATAAAAGTTTTGTCGTCAAACAGTCGATGTCCAGTCAACAAACTGAACTTGGGTTTAACGTATTGTGCTTCTGTAGCTTCTGTGAATCACCAACGCAACACTTCCACCTCTGCCTTACACTCCCTGTTTACTGAGCCTCCATGTCTTTGTCCTCCAGGCTGCACGGCAGAAGATCCAGACCCTGGAGACCAGTGTGGAGAACTTCCTTTCTCGGGAGAGCAAAATGAAGCACATGATTCGCTCCCTGGAGCAGGAGAGATCAGCTCACCAGAAGACCATCGAACGCATGCGTACGTGCCTTCCCCCCGACACCCTGACAGATGTGGAGATGACCCAGATCAAGACAGGAGCTAACGGGAAAGCCAAAACTGCAGCCAAGAAGCCCTGATGGTAAATCAGGAAGCCTGCTGTGACTGGTTGACTGCACTGGGCACAGGCTCAGAAGACAGACTGAAGTCAACAAATGGACACTGATTATTTTAGGTGAAGAGAAGCCGAGGTCCTCAGCTGTTGTTGTGCTGTGGGAGAAGAACGGCTCCAAACTTGAGATGTGCGGCCTGTTTGTGGTAAACACACACTTGTGATTGTCAGCAGATAAAAGAGTGGTGGGAGGATGGATGCAGACTGTTCCTTCACTGCTCTGTCTCTATCTTTGTCACTGCTGGTGTTGAGGTGAGATGCACAGCATCCTTCCCTGCTGAGATTTTCCTCAGGAAATCACAGGGAGATTTTTTCTTGTTCTTTTTTTTTTTTTTGAAGGACACAACGGAGAAATGTGTCTGCAGATCTTTTTGAGCACTGCCTTCAGTTATTCACTATCAGTGTCAGTACAAAAGCAGGGAACAGAAGGTGCCTTATGGCAAAAATACAACAACAAAAAAAACATCTTTTGAACCTCAGGTTCAACCTGTCACCTTTACCATCGTGCGTAATCCTGGATACCAGACCCAATCATGCTGCTTTTGTTGCTTTTAAATTTCCTTTTATTATGAAAGTTCTGCCTCAGGCGTATCACGTTGCTTTGTTTCCTTTTTATTCACTTGAAGTATTTTTGTGAATGTAATTTCTTCCAAAGATCATCATGAATATATTTTGTTTTGCTCAATGCATTTTTCCACACATCTTTCATTAGTATGCTTTAAATTTCAGCCCTTGGCACAGTTTCCTCCAAAGCACATCTGCTGACATGTAAAAAAAAAAAAAAAAGAAAGAAAGAAAAAAAAGCCTCAAGTGCTCATGGAAGGAGGAACTGTTTCTGCTCAAAGCTCAGACAGGATGTGATGTCGTCTGCCTTCTCAGTTTCCTGTGTGACTGACCGCAATGTCACCTCACAAAGTTCAGACCTAGGGTTTCTCACTACTCATGAGACACTGAAAACAACTGAGGGAGTTCAGAAGAATGATACCAGTCAGTGTCTTTGCTGAACCATAATTTGAACATCTCACGCGACTTGCTCGACTGGCGCCGCAACGTTTAGGACGTTGCAAAATCAGCACTTGCATTTTCCACAGCGCAAGTTAGTTTGGTCCAGTGACATATATATATATATATATATAAATAAAACATTTAAAACAACAATATGAAAGGTTAAATTCCCCCCACGCTCATACACTTTTGCTCAGGATACAGTTTTTGGTGCAGTTCACCTGGTGGTCACTAGGGTCTGTTAATCTTATGCGTTTAGCTAGATTACGGAACTAGCAAGCTCCTACTGGTAGCTAGTGCAAGCATTCAGCTGCTTTATGCAGGGTGCTAGCTCACTCAGTTGTCAGTCTTACACAGATAGCATTATGTTTCAGTGATTAAAAAACAGTTCAGTTGGAGTGCTGGAATCCATGTGCTGTTAGCAGCCCATGCACTCTGCCAGGTTAGTTAGCAAACTTGTGATTAAAAGTTACCAACTCAATAGTTAATGCAATACTTAATTGTTTGAAAAACAGTGCATTGTCCATGTTAGCCTAGCTGCCTACTTTGGTTTGACAGCTAATACGTTAAGCTCCTTTGTTTGTGGCCTCAGCAGGTTGGATCATGGCTCATAATTAATGCTGTATGTGGGCCAAGTGAAGAAGGCCAAGTAGCCCATTCCTGAGCTACTTCAACTGGGCTGTTTGTTTGTTACTTGTTGATGATTTTCTACAAAAGTTCTAGCAACACGTGCAGGATTTAGTTGGTGGAAAAACTGCAGAGGACATGAGAATGTGGAGACATTTCACTTTCTTTTTTAGATACTTTAGTTACAGTATGTACTGTATACACATACACACTGTGAAATAAGTGTACTGGCTGAGTGCAGGAGCAGACAGTTTATATTAACTCAAAGAGCTGTCCCTGGCTGCTGCTCCTCACTTTTGTTTAATCCCACCACTGTGTCTGACTCACCAGTGCCAGCGCTGATTGAAAGTAAAGCAGTCCAGGACTTTCATAAAACATCATCTAAACCCAAGGTTAATGTCTGTCTGTCAATAAATAAAAGAAGGAAGGAAGAAAACCCACTCACTTTCACAGTGTCTGTCAGTCTTCCTGTCGTTGTGGTGACAGAGACGCGTCCACGTCAGTGTCGTCTTTTGTTCATTTCTATTTGGCATTTTAAACATACCCAGAGCACTTATCTGCTTTTAAACACAGTACATATACGTATATGCCTTGAGTTTGACAGGTTTGGTTGAGGAAATGTGGTTACTCTGAGCTTTACTGCATACGTTTGCACCAAAGTTCTTATATATGACAGAGAAGCGTGGGCCTCTGAAGAACAGGGACTTGGAAGTGAAACATATCAGACAAACCTAAACATCTGTATGTGGAAGATTTCTCTCCTGCTTTCCCTTTGTTCTGGTCACTGACAACAGATACTTTTGTAGTGATAAAATTAAAAAAAAAAACTGAATCATTTTATTGTATGTTTGTTACTAAATACAAACTTGAAAAAGTACCAAATATTGTCAAAGAGATAATCACTTGAGACGTTTAGTCCGCTGTTGGCACTGTTCACGTCTCCTCTGTTGATAAAGTTGTGCCAAAAAAAATGTTTATCAGCTTATTTGATTAGATTCATCAATAAACTTGAAAACATTTCAACACATTTCATCATTGTTCGACACCAAGCAATGTCAGAAGGAAACATGTGAAATTCAAAAATTAAATCACTGAAGCTTTTTTTAAATTTGAACTCAAATCTGTCATCAGTTCATCTATTTTCCATCGTCATCCTGTTTAGAGTCTGAGCCAGTGTGGCGAACCACCACCACGCCACCACATGGCCATTCAGTGAAAAACAAAGAACCCTGTAAGACACTGGTGACCACAGGTCACCTCTGTACAGGGTAAGACTGAAAAGCTGCAACAGTTAATATCTACTTTAACTTCAAAATGGTTCAACTCTAAATGTTTCACAAAACCTGGAAGCAAAGGACCAATTACAAACCCCGCCTATTTTGGATTTTCTGACCAATCACAGCACAGCGGGTTATTTTTCAGTGATTATCAAGCTGTTGGCCTTTGACCTGTTAGTGATCTTTTCCAAAAAACCAGCAGAGAAAAAAACTTGTTTTGTTTCACATCAATCAAATGTCAGATCAGGTTGTTAAAAATAAACTCCAAACCAAATTAAAGTGAACCATAACCGCAGCGTTATTGCAATCAGATTTATGACAGTAGCATCAGGATTAGCTAAGGGTTACCCAAAATAGCTTAAAAAAGTTTTTTAAAGATGCTGATAGTTCAACAAATACACTAAGAAAAATTTGATAAATTGTTGAGATTTGTCAAATGCCTGTGATGCTCAATAAAATCCATCAATGGGATATTAATTAATTATTTTTTCTGTTCTAATAGGCCAGACGTTTGACTTACGTAACAGTGCAGATAAAGAGGTGTTGATTCCATCAGCCAATGGGTGGGTTTCAAAGACAGCTCCTGGACCACTCTCTGTTTTCTTACCCAGAAAGGACTGCTCCCAGCATGTCGCTGTGATCTGCCTCTGCCAGGCCTGGAACCTGTCACATCCATAACACAATTGACCGCCAAGCAGCAGCCTATCACACACTAAACAAAAGGGGCCACATTCCTGACGTATTCCCACACGGGACACATCCTGGAGCAGGAGGGAAGAGTGGGATTCTGGGATTCCACTGGGGTTTGGCTGCGAAGGACACTTCCTCTGCCCAGGGCCTTATCAGCGCTGTTTGTATTTTTCCGAAGCCTCTGTTTTGTTTTTCAGTATCTTTGCCCTTCAGTCCATCCCTGCCTCCTCCTCCTCCTCCTCCTCCACTTAACTCCTCATCCTCGTTGATGGATTTATGAGGTTGATGTTTGCCTACAGCTGTGGAGATGTTCAGATATTTCAGTGGAACAGAAAGAATACATTTTGAGCAGTTGGACCAAGATCAAACACTGTGACGTTTGTTCCTTATGTTAGCTTTAGTGTTTGTGAGGGCTGGAGGGAGAAGAGGGCAAGGGTTAGCATAAAATAAATGAAAAAAGCTAACATCAGCTAATGATACCCAGATAAGTGTTAAAGGTTAGCAAAAACAACGTAGTATAGCAACTGTCATTCAAAGGATTAAAATATCTGCTCTAAATAGATTAAATATTAGTTATAAGTTATAAGTTACACTCACTTATGACTGGAAACTAAAAAGCTGATGGAAACCTACAGTAACAACAGTGCCCTCGAACAGCTGCCCTCGAAAATTTAAAAACAGATGTGGAAAAAAACATTAAAAAGAATGCAACAATTAAGCTAAAGAATAGCCTTGTGTAAGTAAAAACTTAAGTTCTAGAGACAGGTAAATAAAGCAGTTTAGTAGAAACAAATCCAAATTTGGCTTAAAGCCAATAAACTATAGTGAAAAAGAAAAAGTCGGCCAAAAACTAGCACAACACGATCCAAAAGATAACCAGCTAAAAGTTAGCCAAAAGATAATTCCTTCATTTGATAAAAATGCTGTGGAAAAATTGAAAGACTTTGGAGCACAGTCTTGGCAGAATGGATGAAGCAGGTTGACAGGAGTGTGAGCGGGTTCCTAGGAAGGAGGGGGGGGGGGGGGGGGGGGGGGGGTGGAGGAGAAGGAGGTTAGGACAGGTCTTCCCTGCCTTATATGGGAATCCATGCTGCTCCCTGTGTGGAGCAGTTCATAAAAGCTGGAGAAGATTCTGGAGAAGCTGCACTGGTCAGTGCAGAGCAGTAAGGTCACAAAGGTCAAACCTTGACTGCACCAACTGCAATTCATCAAGTGGCAACAAAGTGAAAATGATACAAAATCCTGTTCAAACTCTGGCTCTGGGGCCAGTCATGGTCCAATCATTAAATCTAAATGAACCATATTTAAAGCAGAATTTGTTTTATATGAGACTTTACATCTTTATGACATTTCCCTAAATTATTGACTCGACTTGACCCGTTTTGTTTCTTACCATTTTTGGATTTTTTATTTTTATTTTGCATGAGCAGGAATAACTTTTAGTTGTGTTGTAGCATGTATTTGTCAGGTCTGTTGGTCACTCTTCCTGTCTGTGTGCTTGTCTCTGGGTTTATTAGTTTCATCACACTCACCTGTAGACTGTCCTTCCCTGTTGATCAGCCTCTCATGTCTCACCTGGTGCCATTGTTCGTTTGTTCCTGTCGTTCCTGTTCTCCTCGTGGTCTGATCGTCTCTCTTCCCGCCTGGTCCTTGGTTTCAGTGAGTTAAGACTTCATTACAAGCCTGGTTGTTAAGTTAAACTGTTAAATAACCTCGATCACTGTTCTCCTGAATACTGCACCGTGGTTCTACCTGCCTCCTCGTTCCTCTCCTCCTTGTGACAATATTAGAACTATTTCGAACAAATCAGTCTTTTGGCTTACGTTTGCTCTTCTTCTAAACTTTAGCCATCTTTAGGCTAACATGGAGGCTAGCTAGCGACTACATGGATTAAAAGCGCACTCCAAATTCAACCTAGGTGTGAATGAGAGTGTGACTGGGTGTTTGTCCTTATATAGGCCTCTCTGAAGGACGGGTCAGCGCTACTAAGATTGACTCCATCTCTTTCCACCACTGTGTAGAAGATGAATTAATTTATGAAGCTGTTACAAGGGATACTCTCTCTCTGAAATGTGAGACAGTAAAAGTAATATGTTATAAATTTAATGATCACTCACTGAGGGGAAACTCAGCTGTTTGTTCACCACCTAATCATTGGATCAATCAAGTACCGCAGAAAGAGCGTGTTATTAAATCAGGCTGCTGCTGAAGGAAAGTTAGGAGTTTGCTGTGACTGTCAAAGACTGGCTGCTGGTGGAGTCAGAGGATGCTGAAACGTAGATGTTGGAGGTTGGGTGGAGGAAACAGCTGGAGAGGTGGGAGAGAGGCTCAGATGGGCTGAGCTGAGCCCACAGAGAAGAGCTGAGAGTTGGCTCTCCTGGGGCCATGAACACACACACACACACAGAGACACGGTTCACCACATCTCCTAGTTTATCTGTGCCTTGATTCCTCCCTCCATCTTTGCAGGAACCAGCTGCTGCTGCTCCTCCTCAACTCTCTACCTTTTCCTTCTTCTCCTTCTTCCAAAGCGGTGAAATGACATCTTTACAGAAGCTCCTATGGATTCCAATCATCTATTCACACTGTGCAGCCATGTGAACACATGTGCATGTGCACGCGCACACATGTGGCATCGACACACTGACATGTTTTGGTTAGCATGGTGACAGATTTGCTTCCTACAGAGTGTTCTCTCTCTCTCTCTCTCTCTCTCTCTCTGTACCTGTCACTGAAGGAGCTGCCAGAGGGGCCACAGACAGCAGTGGCACAAGGAATAGAGAATAGGGCAATAATGAAGCCACAGAAGAGAACACACTCCCTTACACACACACACACACACACACACAGACACAGAGTATTCCCATGATTGGTCCAGTCCACTGCTTTGGTTCCTTCCACCGTGAACCCACAAACAGTGCCTGAAGAGTCTTGTGATTAATGACGTGTTTGTCATGTCGACACCTTCTTCATCTCTGTCCTGACGAGATCCCACTCTTTCTTGCTCTTTCCTCCTTCCCGCAGTGGTCTGGCAGGCAGACAGACTACCCAGAATGCTTCTGGGGGTCAGATGAAACACTTGCCGGGGACTGTTTCCAAACTTACCTCATCTAATGTGGCATTTATCCGTGAAGCCTCTGGAGGCCCTGACTGGTGTCCATACAGTCCACATGTGCATGTACTCACAAGTACACGTGCATATACTCTACATACTTTACTATTTCACACTTTGTGTTTTGTGGGGGCAGGAGCAGATAGATGAAGGGTTTCTATGAACTAAGACAAATGACGTGAAAGTCATGCATAAATGCTAAAATGCTATACCATCAACTGGGGAAATGCAGGCGCTGCAGAGAAAAGGCAGTGTAATGATAAAAATCATCATGTTATTGATGGCAGGCTGCATTAAAAAGCCAAACGGGCCACATTCAGCCCCCGGGCCGTAGTTTGCCCATGCCTGATTTAGACTGTAGATTTCACTGCCATCTTGATTTGATTATTGCACTTAGCACTACAAAAGCTTTGGCAGAACTGTTTAGAACTTGTTTTGTTAGCAAAGGAAGTTGAAAATGTCTTGGGAGCTGCCCAAAAATTAGCTGCACAGACGGTTCTCCAGTGCCGAGTACTGAGTTGCGTATAGCAGTACTTTAGCTGGCATCTCTGTCAGGGTTTAATCGAGCTCAATCAAGAGCAGCTCCTATTACAAACCACACTTCCAGAAAAGTTGGCTCCCTTTTTTTTACATTAGAGTAAAAACAAAAGAACAGATATATCTTGTGACAAATCTTCCCAGTGAAAGATGACTCTCTTTGAATCTCGAAGTTCGAGATAGAGCTATGAAGAGACAACAAACATTTCTTGCAGGTTTGAGTATCAACAAACTACAGGCCTTGGTCTTACTGACCCGCCTGCAGTCCAGATTTGATCTCAGGTTCTGTTTTAAACATACAATTGATAGATATGTGTCTTTTACTGATAGAAACCACTG